ATTTTAATCTCTAATTTTAAATGGAAAGAGCACAGACAAAGCCTTAGTTTGTTTATATGAAGAGATTTATTTTATTTGTGTTATTTATTTGATTTGGGGCTTGTTTTAAAATTTCAATTTAGTTTTGTTATTTATATTTACATATTTTGTTATTTAGCATACACTTTTATCCAAAGCAACTTACAAATGAGGACAATAAAAGCAATCAAAACCAACAAAAGAGCAATAATATGCAAGTACTATATTAGTATTTTATTATAGTGTTATATTTCAATTTCACAAAGAAATGTGCAGCATTTTGTCCAAGCAATAATAAAAGGACACATTGAATTTATAATTTGTCTTAAATCTAATTTTGTAAAAAAAAAAAAATAATAATAAAAAAACCGTGAATCGAATCGTTAAATCAAAATCGTGAATCGAATCGAATCGTGAGTTGAGTGAATCGTTACATCCCTACCAGTTTGCAATTTAGTAATTGCGCCACATGCTCGCAAACTTCTGCTGCAGCTGTTGTTTGAGAAGTTTTGGGCACTGGGGTCATTCCAGGGCTCGTTGATGACAAGCAGAGGAAGTGTGAGGTTGGAAAACGGTTTAGTAATTGATAGTTGTGAACTGCTGCATGCACATTAAAATTCTATAAGAATGGATAATAGACCGTAATACGAACAAAGTTTATCACTTTGAACCAAAATCAATACTTCAATGCTATATGCTTGGCAAATCAGTTTCAGGAGACCTTAAATGTCAATGTTAACCTTTTGAGAGGATGAACGTTGTCTTTGTCTGCAGGTGTGGAAGTGGAGGACTGGTGAGTGTCTGGTGCTGGAGGGCCATAAGGAGCCGGTCAGGAAGTTTCAACTGTTGAACAAGTCTACTTCCTCTCACCTGTTCTCTTGGTCGTTTGATGGCACTGTTAAGGTAAACAGAACCTCTACTAATTTCTCTGCATTTGCAAATGAATGAATCCATCTAAAGCACACATAGAATATGAAGGATGACGTGTAGACCTCATTTAACTCTTTTCTATAGACTGCATTGCTTTCAGAGCAAAACATGGTTATCAAGACCAAATTGTGGACTGAAAGCACAGTCAATTATGATCATTAGGTGATGCATGCACTTAATCACTTGCAAACAGCTTTTTTAGGATCTCATCAGCAGTAGTCGTTATACTTCACCCCAGTTGTAATCAGGGCTTCTGTGGGAAAGATTGTTTACATGGTCCACAACTTCCTGCCACTTTCCACAAATAGGGTACAAAAATGGGCCTGAACCACTCAAATTTGGTCTATAAAAAGAGGTGTTTATCCTTGATTCAAAGTCTCGGTAAATTTATGAGTTGTTTGATTTTCTGTTCCATTTGTATGATGTCTAAATTGTTTGAAATAGATTTTTTTTTTTTGGTAGTTAAGATCTAGATTTTTTAAAATTATTTTTACTAAGATAAGACTGTAAAATTCTTATATATATATATAGAGAGAGAGAGAATTGTGTTTTTATTTTTTTTATGTAGTCATCTGAGGTGAGACAGGCCAAAATGTATACTTGAATGTTTAAATCTAGCAACCCTTTCATATTAGGTTTTTTCCCTTGTTTTTTGTTAAGTTTATAATTGTCATGCATTTCAATTTTCAAAGTTAATTGTTCAAACCGTGGGACACTGAAGTGTACCATATTAATACAATGCTCCTCCTGCCATTTTCAGCAAAGCAGTCAGTTTCTTTTTGTTGCAGGTCTGGGATCTGAACAGAGGTCAGATGCTGCAAGACCTTGAGTGTCATAAGGGTGCTGTCCTGTCATGTGACGTGTCCTCTGACGGACGTCTCTTTGCCACCACATCGGCCGATAGGACTGCTAAGGTCAGAGAAGAGGCACAGATTCATACATCAGATCAGTGTCAGCGGACAAGATATTGTTCACATTAAACTCTCAGAGCTCTTCGGCTGCCTCTGTGTTTAGATCCTGGACTCCGACTGTGCGAACACCTGCTCCCGTTACACTGTTAGTTTGTTTACTGTAGGTGTGAGTCTGTGTTGGTACGGTGTAAGGACTGTGCTAGGTGACTACCTGGAGTATCTTTACTGAGCCCTGGGTGCTTGCCTTAATGATGCCATGTACAGCCAAATTCTGCCTAATTAACTTTGCGTGAGCGCAGTACAAAAGCTCACAGATACACGTACACACGCATGACGTCCTCTGTTTGTGGTATCAGAGGTCAGAGTCCAGTCTGCTCTTCTGAGAGCGTAATGAGATGAAGTTCTCTCGTTCCGTATGACACCGCCTATACCAGAAGAGCTTTCTAATGAGATGCCATGTTCAAGTCTGTCTGCCAGAGCTTCTCACTGACGAGAGAGAGAGAGGACGGCAAAGTGAATTTGGAGAGCTGATCAGAAAAATCATTCCTGCCAAATGGACCCGCCGCAAATAATGACTAACTCGGTCTAAAATTAGAGATGGAAAAACAAATTAAGCAGCAGTTTTGATAATTTGCTCAACCTTGTTCCGATTCCATTTATTATTAGATTAACAATTTCACGAAGAAATCTATCAAAAATGACATTAGATGTCGTCAAATTATTTTACAGCACAAAATAGCAATGTTATGAGATTTGCTCTTGTTCAGTTCATGCAGTAAAATGGCTCATAACTGCTGATTTCTGTTCCCTAAGGTGTACAGCAGTGCCTCGTGGGAGATGACTTTTTTGCTGAAGGGACACGAGGACTGCGTCCGTAGCTGCCGTTTTTCTTGGGACAACAAGCGACTTGCGACGGGCGACGACAACGGAGAAATCCGGGTAAGTATAATCTTAAGCTGCTTCAAATTGTAAATCAACTGTGTTAAAAGGAGTAAAGATCTGATTGTGGCCTTGATCAAGCTTCAGAAAGATTTTGGTATGTGTTATGCTGAGGAGTTGGGATATTTTTGACCTCATCCCTCTTTTATTACTTTTTCTTTGTTTTTTTGTTTTTTTAATTTAAACCAAAAAGCCAGTAATGATGCCTAATAAAAGTACACTCAGATATTTTTGTTAAAAAAAAACCCCTTCACAATTCGCAATAAAGCATACCTCATCCCTCTTTTATTACTTTTTCTTTGTTTTTTTGTTTTTTTAATTTAAACCAAAAAGCCAGTAATGATGCCTAATAAAAGTACACTCAGATATTTTTGTTAAAAAAAAACACCTTCACAATTCGCAATAAAGCATGTCTTTCAATCAGTTTGTTCCCGATAGTTGTGCCTCCCTGTTACTTTTTTGACAGCTGTATTGGCAACAGTTCTACATATTAACTGCACACTTTTATTTAAATTCTACACATTATAGGGGACTGTAGTTTCTCTAATTAAATCACCCAAATATGGTTGTAAAGAAATTGTAATGGCAAAGGTAATCAATAATGGTGAATTTTGGGTAACTGTGAGCAGACGTTATGGCCACATTGAGAGCAAATGGAGATGTTAAGAAAAGTGATGTAGGAACAAATACATCTTGAAACCTCAAAACTCGGCTTCCCATCCGTCAGTTCTGCCAAGCCTTCTTTCTCTGAGTTTTTCTTGCGGGGAGACCGGCCCGGTGCTCAGAACTGTAAAGAAAAAATCTACCTTATCAATTAAAGATGCTTCTCGCAAAGAGAGAAAGTGAGAGAAAACCACAAAAAGAGAGAAATGCTGTGATGTTATAATTCATGGCCTGTGGTGATTTTTCAAAGCTCACGTCTCTGTTTAACACACTTTACTGCCACGGTGAAATGGCAAGTGCAAAACGGACACGTCACATCTGTAAATCCGGCTTTAGTGCTGTAAATAAGCTAAAACACACCAAATACAAATATATCCTTCTCACGAGCAATTTCTGATTGTTCCAAGAAGCATTGATGCATTATAAATACACTTGTGAAATCTACGTTGTGTTGTATGTGTTTTGATAACCTATTACTTTTGTAACAATGATGTGTTGTGTATCTGAAGCTGTGGAGCATGCTGGATGGAGCTCTTCTGAAGATCTGTTCACGGGACACTAAGGACTCCATGGACTCTTTCCACGGTGGATGGGTGACTGACCTGCACTTCTCCCCTGATAACGGAGTACTGGTCTCTACGGGCGGATACATCAAGGTACACGCATTATATAGTTGACATCACTGTATACAAGCAAACGCTCAGTGGTGCACCCTGGAAAAGAGGTTTTTTTTGGTTCGCTTCATTTAACCTGGGAGTGCTTCATGTGTGGTTATGATTCAGAGCTGGGTAAAAATAATAAAAAGGTTTATAATTTTGTTTTATTGGCGAATGAAAAAAGCAGCATAAATCATTACAGCCTGATTTCTGAAAACAACACAAACGTTATGAGCCTAAGTGTCTTAGATGAGGGTCTGAAACCCTGTAATAATTTACAGCGTCAGCAGATATGTAATAAATTAATTAATGTATATAAATTAAAATAAACCCACTGAATGGTATTGAAATTGAAAATCTGTTATTACATTTATTATTATTGCTATAATTATAACTTTTCTTAATTCGCAATGCTCCATTGGCCTGCGTTCTTTGAGGTGTTGTGCAGATCTGCAAAAGTGCAACCAAGATGAAGTCTCGCCAGTCTGTTTGTTGTGACTCATGACTGTTTCATCTGTATTATCAGGCAGGCGCTTGTCCGATCGCTCATGTCACCGAGACACATTATCATATCAGGAACGGAGCGAGACTAACTTCCATCAACACTGTCAGCCATTATCCATCACGCTTTGAGACTTCTTTATTAATGTACTCGGAGCCGTCTGTACATTGTGTAAGTGTCACAAGCGTAATGATGCTTCATCACGCATCAATCTGTCAGTTTATCAAATGTGTCTGCATCAGGCTGACCCTCCGCGTGAGCGACGGATCCGTCGGAGACCCGATAATAAGCTCTGATTGATCGCCAGCTGTCCTCACACTCAGGATCCCGCTGTCTGTAATATGAAATGATAAATGAATCATCGTATGCGTCGGTGCCAAATCCCCAGCCGAACCTTTTCATCAGACCGAACCAAACCTGCCGTAAATCTGCTACGACCACACAAAGGAAGGAGATGTGTGAGACGCGAGTCGTCACACTGTGCTTCCTGCACTTCTGTTGCGATTTGAGTTTACGTGGCCTGCAGGATCCGGTTACATATCGGAGCAGATGTTGTGAAGTCAGTTTTTTTTCCGTTGCAATAGTTGATCCTGTGAAGGATCCCTGGGTATTTAGTTTCCTGTCCATGTTGTCTCTTATTTGATATAGACAAATACTGACATTTTCTAAGCAAAATTATGGTCTGAGCCATGACCTAGCAGTTTGCACATTGAGTTGCGGTGCTAGTGTAGCGGCACAAGTTTGAGTTCAGCCTTTTTTGTCCTGTTTTCACCATCTTCTCCTCTGTCGCCAAACGTGTTAAAAAAATGTGACCTAAAGACCCCAAAAAGATTTAAAAGAATAGCAGTAATGAAATGAAGCTGAATTTTGTCAGGTGTCATAATGCAAAGGGACAGCAGCCTCGTTTGCTCCATTAAACTCTCGGTTTAGCTTGTCATTCAGTCTGGTATACTGTATATCGCCATGCCTGAGCTTGTTCAGCACGGCAGCTTTCTGCGTTCACTTTGAGGTGATCTGCCTCTCAGCCGCATCTACGTCTTTTGATGTCTGCCTTCTGCAGTTTGTCAACGACATGTTTCTATTTGTGTCGAGCCGTCAGCGACGTTTGTTCTTTGACACCATTTGCAGTTCAGTCCATCAGAGTACAAAAACAACTGAGTCGACTGGCCTGCCGCCATCCACGTTTAATCTCACGGAAACAGATCTTAGTTTTAGAGTCAGACGGCGAGTCTGGGATTCATTAGTTATAGCATTAGTAAATGCTTGCAGATTCAGTAATTCTGACTCCAAACTAATTTGTGAGGCATACGTATAGTTTGACTTTTGCTTATTAGCTGGATCAGGCTTGATTTTTATTAAAGTGTGTTTCATGATGGGAGTTGAGTGAAACTGCCTAGTGGAACAGCAATGAGTTATTTCATGCCATTTAAAAGTAGAGACGTTCCAATGTCAGATTTTCACTACATGAACATTGTGACCAAAGGAATTCATTGATTATTGATATTGTAGTATGTATAGAATTTTTAATCGGATCAATTTTTTTTTAAATATTTTTTTTAGCTTAAGCCTGTCTTCTGATGTGTTTTTGTGTAATTTTGAGAAGTTGCAACCAGTGTTTAGGTGCAGTAATAATGGCATCTATGTTGAAGCATCAACCAGATAATTACTGGAGTTGTTTGCTTGCTTATTGTAGGTGTAGTATTAAAGGGGGTAGGTCACCAAAAATGAAAATTGTCATTAATTACTCACCCTCATGTGGTCCCAAACCCGCAAGACCTTCGTTCATCTTCAAAACACAAATTATGATATTTTTGATGAAATCTGAGAGCTTTCTGAACCTACATAGACCGCAACACAACTGACACGTTCATTGGCCAGAAAGGTGATAAGGAATTTGTTAAAATAGTCCATGTGACATCAGTGGTTCAACTGTAGTTTTATGAAGCTACGAGAAAAAAAAAAATCCAGACTTTATTCAAAGATTTGTTGTCTCCTCCGTGTCATTGTTCGACGTGCGTTTGTCAACGACATGTTTCTATTTGTGTCGAGCCGTCAGCGACGTTTGTTCTTTGACACCATTTGCAGTTCAGTCCATCAGAGTACAAAAACAACTGAGTCGACTGGCCTGCCGCCATCCACGTTTAATCTCACGGAAACAGATCTTAGTTTTAGAGTCAGACGGCGAGTCTGGGATTCATTAGTTATAGCATTAGTAAATGCTTGCAGATTCAGTAATTCTGACTCCAAACTAATTTGTGAGGCATACGTATAGTTTGACTTTTGCTTATTAGCTGGATCAGGCTTGATTTTTATTAAAGTGTGTTTCATGATGGGAGTTGAGTGAAACTGCCTAGTGGAACAGCAATGAGTTATTTCATGCCATTTAAAAGTAGAGACGTTCCAATGTCAGATTTTCACTACATGAACATTGTGACCAAAGGAATTCATTGATTATTGATATTGTAGTATGTATAGATTTTTTAATCGGATCAATTTAAAAAAAAAAATTTTTTAGCTTAAGCCTGTCTTCTGATGTGTTTTTGTGTAATTTTGAGAAGTTGCAACCAGTGTTTAGGTGCAGTAATAATGGCATCTATGTTGAAGCATCAACCAGATAATTACTGGAGTTGTTTGCACTATTATTGTAGGTGTAGTATTAAAGGGGGTAGGTCACCAAAAATGAAAATTGTCATTAATTACTCACCCTCATGTGGTCCCAAACCCGCAAGACCTTCGTTCATCTTCAAAACACAAATTATGATATTTTTGATGAAATCTGAGAGCTTTCTGAACCTACATAGACCGCAACACAACTGACACGTTCATTGGCCAGAAAGGTGATAAGGAATTTGTTAAAATAGTCCATGTGACATCAGTGGTTCAACTGTAGTTTTATGAAGCTACGAGAAAAAAAAAAATCCAGACTTTATTCAAAGATTTGTTGTCTCCTCCGTGTCATTGTTCGACGTGCGTTTACGACAGTACCAAGCATGTTTTTTTTCTTTTTTCTTCTGTGTTAAAATAGCTACAAGAATACTTTTTGTGCACAATGTTCTTACTACCTTACTGTCCCTTGGACATGTCAGTTGTATTGCTGTGTATGCAGGGTCAGAAAGCTCTTGGATTTCATCAAAAATATCTTAATTTGTGTTCTGAAGATGAACGAAGTTGTGATGGGTTTGGAACGACATGAGGGGGAGTAATAACAGAATTTTCATTTTTGGGTGAACTATCTCTTTAAAACAACATCAGTTAAATTTAAGCATCACTTTTATCATCATTACCTATCGACACCCCTAACTGACATGGAAAACAGTATTAATGTTATTTTAGGAGCGTTCTGTCCTTTTGTCTCTGTCTGTTGTCATTGAGACAGGACATGTCCCATCTCCAGTCCAACCCAGTTTCATGTGCAAAGGACAAATCAGCAGGGCATCTGTCTTTTCATACTGTTTCCTTGTCCGTTTTCCTTCAGCTTTGTTTTCAGTCTCATTTGTCAGGATGTCTGAAGTCTGCATCAGTCCATCGTGTCACGTTTGTATTTATTAATTTTAAATCAAGGCAACATTGTTAGGAAACATGCGTAAAGAATGATGCTAGTGTACGTGCACGAGTCTAATAACTAATTTTGCCCTTCACTCTGAGAGGTAAATGTTTTGTGTGTGCTTGAGTGATTTATAAAGGCTGCTATCAGTTTAGCTTTCACTCATAAAAGACAAATGGTTGTTGTAGCTCTGTGTGCGAGTGACAAAGCGTTCCTCCGTGTGAGACCGAAATATTTCCTGGAGGGGAGCAGAAACGGATGAGGAGGTCAGCCAGGATATTACACCTTTAGTGAGGAAGAGGCTCATACGCATTAAATCACACCGCCCGACTCATTTTGGTTCACACACGTAGTGTTGTTTGTCCTCTGGAGGATTTGGCTGGTGTTGGGAGACTCGCAGTAATTCACACACATCAGCTCCAGGGCATCCAGACCTTCACCTCTACCAGACAGAACGTTTATATCACCGTGGTTTATATCCCACCACAGCGTTCACCTGCAAATAAGAGACTCTTTATTTCCTGTGTCCGTTTCTGCTGTCGAACAACGGTGAGAAAAAAAGCTGTTTGATTTTTGTAGCAGTAGCAACACTAGACCCAGACCCAATGGCACGACCAGAGTTTCACAATTCCTCTGAGGTGTCTGGAAGCGTAAAGGAGATGGCCTTGTTCTTGGCCCGCTGTCACAAGTGTCGTTTCTACACAACGTTCACACCCATTCTGGCCGTCATTAGACAAAGAGTGAGTGAAAGAGGAAATGGAGGGAAAAACCAGGGGAGATTTGAAGATGGTAGATTTTTGTTGTGAAATATGCGAGGAGTAGTTGATTAACTCAACTGAATTGAATGCTAATGCACACAGAGTTGTCCTTGATGTAGAGTTGTTTTTATTCAATGTTCATTTTCAATAAAATGGTTGGGAGACAATTTGTTTAAATGTACATTTTATTAAAAGACGTTTATTTATTTTCTTTTTTTGTAGCAGAAGTAGTTTGTCACTGATTAAAGGTCCTTGCACACGGAGTCCGACATTTTGATGTGTTTTTTTGTATTTGTCATCCTTTCCTATCAAAATGCTTGCTATGGATGCGAAAAGGCAGAAAATCCAACCTGATCTGAATTTTTTTTATGATGGAGGAAAGTTTCGGAGGCATTGTGTAAACGGGATCGACACAACCTGAGGTGGTATTTATTTTTTTAACGTGCAAAAAATTGGGCTGAGAATTTTGGACTCGCTGTGCAAAGACCTTAACTTGCATAATGTTTATGTAAAGGTAGGATTGTTCCAATTTTAATGCACTTTGCAATGCGAAGTGTTTGGAAAGATGTGTGTAGCATGTTTAATCCAAATGAAAATTTGACTATTTGTTTGTAGGTAAACAAGCATTTCCGTTTGATTTTGAAGGTTTTTTTTTTTTTGTCTGCTGGTTGTAGCCTTTCATTATTTAATAGTTTCTGAGAGAATTCACTCAATCCATCTGTTTGTCTTTTCATTGTTTGCCAGCGGCAGAAGCACTTGTACCGCAGGAAAGCTTGACACAGATTGCAACACCTGTCACTTGTCACTCGAAGGCTCTGCTTTCTTAATTTCTCTTGCGCACCCGTAGCGCAGCGACGGGAATGGCAGCTTTGCCGAACTATCAATTGCCTTTCTATCCTGTGGCTCGTACGTTACATACCAAGCCTTTAAAAATCGTATGACAGGCTTGCGAGTAACAGACCAAAATTTTAAGTGGAGCGGTTCATGTGACGTTTGGCGGCGTAGATTTGTCTTTTTTGGATGATCGGTCCCTTTAACTTGCTTATACTTGATGAATTGTCCTGCATTTCAGTTTTGTCCAGAGGGGAGATGTTTGCCTTTGAGAGAAGTGGCTTTTTGTCAGACGTGGGCCATTGAGCGGACAACCTTGAGTGTAGATGTCTTTTAGGTTCTCGCAGCACCTCATAAACGTTCAAAAGATTTCAAACGGCACAAGTTACGATTTTCACTGCCTGTAATGAGTCAACTTTGTCTTTATCTGGTTGAAAGTGATCTGAACGTTTGGCTCGGGGCGGGCAGAGACACACACGCCGGTGCCGAGACTCAGCGATTGGGTCCTGGCAGATGACCCGTCAGAACGCGTTCACACAGGAAAGATGCTACTGAGGGCTGACAGCACAGCGCACGCACACCCCTGTTCCTCTCAGAGGATTCCTCTGTCGTCGCTCTTTCCATTGTCTGCGGTGCGCAAAGTACAAAGACAAACAGAATAAGAGTAAGAGATTGTAGGAAAGAAAGAAAAGGGATTGTGTGCACATTTCAGCCTTTGGAGTCTTAAATGAATAATTTAGCTTTGAAGTCTGTGGTGGGTTCCCCCTGCTCCTGTGGTAGTTGAGTTAGACAAGGTATATGGGGTTATTGTTGCGTAATGCGGCCTGGCCAAGTGCCTTTTTTACTGCAGGCCAGAGAAGCATGATTAAAAAAAAGTCTATTATGAGTTGTAGAGTCAAAAATGGATGCTGTGACAGCACCAGACATACAAGATTCTCCCATGTGATGCTGCAGAAGTGACACTAAATAAAGACTGCAAACAGTGCCGTTACAATTGTAGATTTTAGATGACAAAAGAGAATACAAACAGAAGCGTTCCCTGGTTTTGAATATGTGGTTTAATTTGGAAATGTCACTTTAAAGTCAAATTGTGTTTTTGACAGAGTAGCAGCCGTAGCCTGGCCAACCCAATCACCGCACAGTGGCGTTGGTGGTCAACAACCCAAAACACACAGGGGGTGAGAGTGAACAAGAAGTAACGGGGCCACTGCAGCCACTACCTCTATACCCTCGGGCATGTCGCTCAACTTCACAGCGCCCCGGGGTCAGAGGATGACAGCTGACCCCTGATCTTTGGACCTGAACCGTCCCTGTCTGCTTGTGTTTGTGGAATTGTGATGTCTCAGGAGGAGATGTGCAATTGTTCACTCACTTGAGTGATAAAATGGTCCTTTTTTTCCATCTTATTCATTCAGAAACTTGTAGAAATCAGTCTAGTCTGCTTTGGCTACATGCAAATGTTTTTTCATTGTGTGGCATTGAAGGTGCGTAATATGTATTTGGAGACCAGTAGAGTGGATGAAGCGGAGCAAGGTCAGGTGTGTTTTCCAGACTGCACTATGTTGTCCACTGTGTGTAGCAGACTTGGCCTTGGCCTGGTGAATAATTGAAGGAGGTCCTGTTCCTTTACTAGTGACATTTTTACCCTGGTTGCATAATAGCACTTCTTAGCCTGAATGTGCAGATATTTTGTGTGCCCTATGTTGTATTTATTTTTTGTGTGAAGTTTGTGTTTGAAAATGCTTTCTCTCCATCTGCTGTCGCGTTTGGGCCGTTGCCTTTATGCCGATGTAAGGACACGGAGTTTCAATTGAAGCATACAGCAGAAATGTCCTATTTATGCATGCAATGCTATTTAAGTGATTCCGACTTGCATTGGCACTAAAACATCAGCGTGTTGAATTTGGCAGATGTGGTGCTTGGACGTACGAGTCCAAAATTTGTTTCCTTGACGGGACTACTTTGTTAACTTGTAAAAAATAAAGCACACGTTCATCCAGTGGAAAGAAGAAATGTGTTAAGCCCTTTTGGACAGGATTAGTTTTCCACAAGGAGCTCAGGTGATTTGTGTTAATCCTGTCCGAATGAACCACGACTGCGTTTACAAATGTAACCTTGAGCAATTTACCTACCGTCGGTCTGCACATTGCTTGCCGTCGCACAAGCTTCTTTTTGTAAGTAGTTTCAGAGAAAAGAATATTAAAGCCAAGTGGTGTGAAATTGTCAAACAATTGAGGTAGCTGATATCGTGTAGTAGAAAAGCAATCCCATCTGCAGGCGTGTTGTATATTTGGCGGTTTGGTACACAGGGCGGAGAACTGTCTCAACTGGTGTGTAAGTTTTTTTTTTTTTTTTTTTTTTTTTTCACCACACAGCAGTAAGTTGTGGAGAATGAGCTTGTTAAATGCAAACGAGAGGCGTTAATTGACCGAAAGGGCTGCCTGACGGAGTCCGTCAGGGGTCGTGTTTGTGCATCTGCACGCGGAGACCGTAAAAACCAGCACTGTGGTTGAAGGCATCTGTCGTCACTGACGGTTTGGCCGGTAGCTGCGCGGTGGCCTCATTTTGTCAGCATGCCAAACTAACGACAATCACACCGCAACCCTCCAGCATTCACACTCATTTAGCAGTTGTGTTGACATGCATTTGATGATGTTTCCTTTGCTGCTTTCTCCGTGTTTCCGTGCAGCTGTAGGGAAGTGAGACCCTCCCTCAGGTGTCGGTGTGTGAAGGTTTGCACGTGTTGTGCTATTGAAAATATTGTCATTTTTACAATGAGACACCGACATTGAGGTAATGTTGCTCATTGTTTTGTTTGTTGCAGTGGTGGAGCGTGGAGACCGGAGAGGCCTTGCAGACGTTCTACACGATGGGAGCCAATCTGAAGAAGATGCACGTGTCTGCCGATTTCACGACGTTTGTCACAGTGGACAGCATCGGAATCCTTTACGTTTTAAAGAAGGTGGAGGGAGGAAGCGTCTAGATTTTGTTTTATGAAATGTTTTAAGTATAGTACAATGTTTAGAAGCAAAACTTTTGTGGAGAAATGTTGTGAGTGCAAGAAATGTGGCCGACTTCAAAATCATTCATCTGATTCTTTTTAGAAGTGTTTTTTCTTACTGATGTTTCATAATATTGAATTGAACAATATGTCCTTTTCCATGCCATGTTTTTGTGCTGTCGTAATTGAAGGCAGGTACTGTGACCCTCATTGACGGAAGCCTTTGTCTAATTTTTTGAAAGAGCTTACGCAGTCCAGTGTGGTATTTCCTCTGAGGCCAAGCTTTTGAACCAATGTCTTAATATGTGTAAGAAGTGTGAAAAGTGCTTTTTGGGTCATTGTGCAGTAAAATTTGTAGCTAAGGTGTGATTAGTGAAGTTTAACGCAAGGGCTTTAAGCTGGTTTGCCAATGAAATGACAATCGTTGTAACCTTATGACTACAGACTTTATATGTAATGTACATGGAGTAGCAAAATCATGGGGATATAGCACAGTTTGCGGGTAGGTTTGTCCGTGAGATGAGGAAAAAGAAAAACTACATGGGATTTCAGCATTGTCTGTGAAAAGGAATTGCTAGTGGTGCTTGTAAGTGAATGTGTAATGAAATGCTGTAACCACAGTCCAATTTGTCCATGCAGGTACACTATTGGATTAGCAAAGGGTGAAAATGTAATTGTTTTTGGTGCTTAAGCATGTTTTATGTGAATGTAAAATGCAATACACAGTACTTGCCTTGCACTTCCTTGATTGTGTCATCATTGATGGTAGGATTGATGTTGATGAATGTATTATTTGCATGTTTGTTTTTCCCCAGTGCTTTACTGCATGGAAGTAGATGCATGTGGAGTGTTTTGTTTGTTTTTTTCATGTCCCAGGTAAGGTGTGTTAAAGGCCCCAAAAATGTTGATTTGTATTGAGCGTGTGTCTGAGAGGGAGGACGGCAGCGTAACGCATGGCTGTGCTGACGGCAGTGGTCATGCTCTGTCCGTTTCTGACACTGCCTGGCAATACACAGTACTTGCCTTGCACTTCCTTGATTGTGTCATCATTGATGGTAGGATTGATGTTGATGAATGTATTATTTGCATGTTTGACACTGCCTGTTGGCAGCTGGCTAATGGGAACAGACAGTGCACTGTCATGTCCAAATGTCATTGTCGAGCGGAAGTGGTAGATTGTGTTTGTTGTTTGCAAACATTTGTGAGAGAAATGCTTTTTGAGGTAAGTATGATGTAGTGTTTGAGGAGTTGCTTTGTCCAGGATGGTGTTTAGGGAAATGTAGCCAGAGCGGGGCAAGTAGAGCAAGTGTAGTGGGGCGAGTGGCAGTAGTTTTCCGGAACTCCAGTCCCAGGGAGCATGTGAAATGTAGTGTGAGGCGGGTCTTTAGTACTGGAGTGTAGAATCCTGGGTAACAGCATGGTGTTGTTGGCGTGATATGGGACGTGGACCATGCAGTATTTGTGGTTTTGTAACGTGAAAAGAGCACATGCTTGTGTGTGGGTGGAATGTGAGCATAGCACGCAGTAAGTGTCTTCCCAAAACACGGAAAAGCAGGGCTTGTGGACCTCTTTTATTACATGAAAAGCAGGGGGAAGTGGGGGGGAAGTTGAAGAGGAAGTAGCTAAGTATTCGTACTTGGCACAATTTTGTAGTGATATGTGACGGGGAGGCTCGGTCAGGGATTGAGTGTTTCCACAGCAGTGTGCATGTAGTGTGGGTCCTCCTGTACTGGACGCCTAATTCATGTCTTGTAGATGCTACTAGCGAGCTGATGATTTGAATGAGGTGTGGCAGTGCAGGAGTCATAGGAAATGTGTCGAGCTGAGAATATGGTGGCAAGCCGTGGAAGTGGTGTTTGGAGCAGGGCTTTTGAGATGCAATTTCCTGCAGAGTTGAGCTCCGACCCTGACCTACTGTACCGGTGTGTTTTGAGTGTTAGAGCAAAACTCTGCAGCAAAGTGGATGTGGTGAGGCAGATGTGAGGTTTTTGTCTGTGGTCTTGTAGAGGCCCAAAAAGTCATCACTAGCCTACACCCGGAAAAAAAGGCCTACCTCCACAGTCCTGGGGTCCCCTGCACAATTTGTATGTGTCCCTTAACACACCTGATGTAAAAGAGGTGTGTGAAGAGGGAGACATACAAAATGTGCAGGGGACCCCAGGACTGTGGAGGTAGGCCTTTTTTTGGGGGTGTAGGCTAGTGACGACTTCTCTCTGTTTTTGTGAATAGAAAGGGGCACAATTTTGTGCCAAGTACGAATACTTAGCTACTTCCTCTTCAACTTCCCCCCCACTTCCCCCTGCTTTTCATGTAATAAAAGAGGTCCACAAGCCCTGCTTTTCTGTGTTTTGGGAAGACACTTACTGTGTGCTATGCTCACATTCCACCCACACACAAGCATGTGCTCTTTTCACGTTACAAAACCACAAATACTGCATGGTCCACTCACTCATAGACTGCTACTTCACTCCTGACCTAGCTGCCGTATGAACCAGCAATCTCTGACACAGAGGTGACACTTATTGCTACGTGCCACCCCACTTTTACTATGCGTGTGCTGGAACTTATGTATCGCTACTATTCTAAGCCTATGCCTCATAATGATTACAGCTCATTTTCTGACATTATTTGTGATCAAGTCTAGGTTTATGTAGAACAGGCAGGCCTCCATCACCAATACATTAGCCCGACCACCCACCTACGTGCCTGCTGTCACCGCCAGGTACCAGGAGATCCACCTTCCTGCACGATCCACTTCAAACTAGGGCTGGGCGATGTGGGCAAAAACTCATATCTCGGTATTTTGGCCCCACTTTGCTATATACATCTCTATTTCCCTTTTTTTATTTGGATTACATAAAACTGTATTGGATATATAAATATATACACACACACATCACTTACTGCCAAATGTTGTCCCACAAAACAATACATATTAAAGGCTATGTGCACAAATAAAGTGAATGTAACCAGTCTTTATATTATGTGCAAAAAAGGGTTCAAAACACATTTGTAACGTTGTAACATTGCAATCTAAACCAAACAAGGCTTTTAAAGAGGAACTTCAATTCACTACACTACAAATGCAAATCAATGACAACCAAGGCACAGAGTTGTTATTACAGTCACTTTACAGTCAGTGCTATCATAAAAATAGACTTGTAAGTTTCTAATTCTACATGCCACATTTCTTGTACAACTACAACTATTTCAGCCACATGTATATTTTAGTCACAATTATTGAGCTCCTATTTCAAGCAGCACTATGTCACTTTTGCCGCTCTAGCGGTTAATAAACACAACTGCACACATCCCGCAGAAGAACATTCCAACCGGAGCTACTTTAAGTTTCAGTTTATGTCTATGGCGATTCACGCAGGTATGTGTTACTCCGCAGCGGTGACGACCTGACCAGCCTACAATAGTCTAAATAGAAATACTTATTATAAGTGTACCGTAGTGATTCGGAATAAGACAAAAACGCACTTTGGACGATGAATTCATCACGTACTCGCTCATTATATACATTTTGCACATTCTGAACATACCTGTGAAATGTCAAGTTATGCATTCAGGAAGACGGCACATCTCAAACACATTCAACAGCGCGAGTAGCCTAGCCTCTCAGTCAGCGACAAGTGCACACTTCAGCGCGGGTTCTGTCAGGAACACTCCCAATACCACGTCGTTCGTTCATACTAACAGCTCTGGCCAATCACTGCTTGACAACTACAGTATGTAAGCACTGAACTCTCCGTTTCCTTTTTCCCCACTGTCCATCCATGGGGGTAGGCTCCTCCCCTGCCTTCATCTTCAGGCAGGATCAGCCAAATGTGCATCCCCAGGATTTGGCTAAGGGATGGGGCCTACGCCAAACAACTTTTTCACAACTACACATGAATTAGTCACTCACCACCATCTGTAACACTTTACAGCATCGATACCATGTAGACGTTTACCTTCTCTCGGAGTCTTTCTGATAGAACTTCATTAGTTACTTGTGGGTTTCAAATGACCTTTGCAGGTAGGTACCTCTCCACAAACTGGATTGGCCACCCCTGCGCTACGTTTCCCACGGGCCAGGTCAGCCTTTCAATTACAGCACACATTCCACCGCCCAAGCCAGCTCGTCTGCAGTATGAACAACGGTTCACTCTCATTACATTTTCAGCTCTCCCTTCCTGGTGAAATGTCGCTGGAGGTTCAGCGAAAACGCTCATATTCCTCTAAACTGTTACATAACCCATCGCGGCATCCCCAAGCTGATGCCACCTACGGTCAAAGTCTGCTTTGAAGGCTTTTTTTGGTGCCCTTTTGCAGATCTACCACAACTGATTTTTGGAATAGGGCAGATGATTTTCTGTCCGATCCTTTTTCTTAGCATGCATTGATTGGTCAGGTACCGACATCATTTCTCTTTTGGATCTCTACTACACATTTCAAACCATCTCTTAAGCTTATGAAACAAATGTTTACATTTTAACCATCACAACATTTCACCTTTGAGTCACAGACTGCTTGACAAAATCAGACAGCTATTCTTCACTTCTTTTCCCCAAAAAGGCACAGTTGCAGAGGAACAATTGGTAGACATTCTCAACGCCACTCTGAAACACACAACCACAATAATCACAAAGCCCAAAAATCTTACAAGTCGTGAACATGCATACAAACATCATTGTATAAGACACTTTTACGTACTCAAACCCTCTTAACCTTATACAAAGCACATAAACAGTACCTGCCATTTGTATGAGGCTAGTCGTCTCTGACTCGTGTGCGCCTGCATCGTGTCTTCTGCTCCCACACCCTGAACCTTGGCCTGAGAATGGTTCCTGTCAGCTGCTCTCGCTGTTGGCGGCTACTTTATTGCTCGCTCTCGTCAGGTCAGGTGGCGCGGAGCCAACTGCGCGCATATGACAGAATCGCCGAGAACAACACAACGGACACCAAAGCCACAGGTCAGCGGGCCGTTGGTCTTTCCTGCCGCATCCCACTCTGCGTCACGGTGTATGCCGCTGTGACGGGTGCTCGTTGAACTTTGGATGCGATCCCGCTCCTGAACACGATCCCACTCCTGCTGCAAGCAAAGCTAACTCGTGGAGGAAATACAAGCCACGTTTGTCCATACTACAATACTTCACCCAAAAACCATCAAATCCCATTACCTGTCATTCACCCAAATGACTGACTTTCTTCTCAAGGACACAAAAGACCAACTTAGAGCAAGGATGGCCCACTCCAGTCCCGGAGTGCTCTGTACAATTTTGCCACTACATTCGACGTTTTCTGAAGCCAATTGTTTTGTGTTAACAACACAAATTTGGAGTTGCTCAATGAAAAGTGATCGCCATCCGCAGCAGCTCAAAACTCAATTCCACATATTGCAATTGTATGACCATTTTGTTCCTTTTACACCTCTTCGGTTACACAAAACTCCACATCACGTAGATTGTTCTTGGAATGACTATTTTACCCACACGACTTCACAGAGTGATGGTAAATGTAACTACACCTTAAGTCAGAGGATGTCCAATCCTGCTCCTGGAGAACCGCTTTCCAGCCAACTTTAACTCCACGCCTAATTCAACACACCACCACCAGCCACTCGAGGGCCCCTTCCAAAACTGAATACTGCCCTACTATATAGGAGACCGATTCACAGTATTTACAAAACATTAAAGTGGTCATATGATGCTTTTTTAAAGATCATTATTTTGTGTATTTGGTGTAACAGAATATGTTGACATGCTTTAATTACCCACACG